TCGGGATAAAGAAATGGTGCCGACCATGGAAGAAGAGAAGTTATTTACAAGAGGAAAACGAGATGTGCGCCACTCAGTATGCTCTCGGAGACACTCTCGGAGTGAATCGCGTTCTCGGACCAGTTCAAGTCTTCTCTTTTCAGGTCTCTTAGACAGCATAAGTGCTGCCGATAGGACCGAAGCGGATGTTGGACCAGACAACCTGCGAGTTGGGGAACTGCTCGATGACCTCGGCAGGGACACCCGAAGTCGGGGCACAAGGTCCACGCTCGGTACCGGGCTCTCCGGCCCTTTCGGGAGGGTAGGTGGAGTCGAGCCAGAGCATGTTGGCATAGTGCTGTCACGGCGCGTCAGCTATTTCCAAGGCTGGAAGATACATGTGTGATGGGAGGAAACACTTACGTCGCTCCAGATGGACATCACAAGCGTCATGGGGATGTTGAGCGCAGCGTTGAGCTGGGGATATCCGCCGACCTCGTTGAAGCGGTCTCGCTCGTTGAAGACAGCGAACTGGCGCTCGCAGTACTCAGGCGTGATCTCCGAAGTCTCGGGGACACCCTCCCACTTGGCGCCGGGGACTTCGATGGTGTTGTCGTTCTGGATGAAGACCTGGTACATGCGGTCAGGGGCGAAGCGGGTGATGACGGTGAACTTCTTGGTGGTGTCAATGGTCTTTCCGGGACCGTAGAAGTCGGGGTTGCCCATGCGGTACGGGTTGTAGTCACAACCGTTAGCATCGCAGCCGCCGCCGTAGCGGTCCTCGGAGTAGGTGCCGCCGCAGTCGGAACCTTCGCAGACGTGGTAGTTGTTGTTCTCGCAAGGGTGAGGAGTCAGAGCGTAGGCATAGGCGTTGGATTCCCTGTGAAATGATGAGGATTTGAGCGACTCTCGAGTGAGAATCGGTACGGGCATCTTACCAGACGTCAATCTCGGCGCAGCAGGCGCCCATGTTGCCGGCACCGGCACTGTCGTCGGTCTCAGAAGGTTCCCAGCCTACAACATTAGCCTATTCGTCGTCACTATTAGCCACAGTCTCTTTGCTTGTCCGGCACAGGGTGTTCAAGTTTACCTTGCCACCAATGAACTTGAGGTCGCGAGCGCATTGAGCGTCGCAGTAACCAGTACCGTACTTGGCTCCAGCCTTGTTGTTGGGCTCCGACGAGAGGCCACCGTCCTCCTTCATGGCAACGAAGTACAGAGCGCTGTTAATGCCGCACTCGACGCTGGACAAGTCGACGTCGAAGGCGAACTCGTTGTTCAGGAGCTGGAAGGTCTGGTACTTGCTGTCTCCGTTCATGAGGTACATACGAGAGCCAATGTTCTTGCCGTATTGGTGCTCTTGGACGAACTTCAGAGTCAAGGCATTGCCGCTGGTCGAGACACCGTAAGTTCCGCCGTACTCGGCTCCCTCAACAGCACAAGTCTGGGCGCAGCTGTCTCCGGTCGTGCACAGGCCGGTCCACGAGTTTCCGTCGTAGCAGTTCTGGTATCCGCTGGAGGAAGATGTTAGCAAGCGCTGTCGATAATCACCTCAAGAGAAGATATAAACCAGCAGTGTAACTTACCCAACACCATGGACCCAGCGCCAGTTGGCGTCGATGACGACCTCGGCGTTGACGTTAGAGCAGGATCCAGAAGTACATCTCTGCCAGCTGAGCTTGGGGTGAGTCTCAGCCTGCTCTGTGCCGACCTGCTGGGCCACAGCCATGGCCAGCATGGAAAGTGCTGAGAGAGTATACTTCATCTTGAAAGAAACCACTGAGACTGGAGGATTGTCTTCTGAGTTGGCAAGTGAATGCTGAAAGGTAGGTAGGTTGTGAGGAGCCTACTTTGAACTTCAGCTGAACACGGAAGCTTACTCCTTACTATTTATGCTCCTGTCTTTGTTCAGAGGTCTTCCGTCTCTCACGATTGCGGAATGAGGCTCCCCGAGGTGATTCTCTTCAGCGTCCCGGATTCCGGCAACATCGCGTCCAGTTCCGTGACCAAGGCCCTATCAGTTGTCGAAAGTCGACGAAAGGGGTCGGATTGTTGCATTGCCAACACTCGCAGGGACGATGTCTTTGCTCGAAAGAGTTCCATGTGACCTTGGATCGCATTATACCTTGTCGTCCAACTCTTGGAAAGAGTTAACCGGGACGAAGTTCCCGTCGGCAACACAGACCCCACTTCCACAACTGTCAAAAGTTGAGCGCTTGTTGCGAGGAAAGGGTCCCATGGATTGCGGACCTGAGGTTTCTCGAGCCGAAGAAATCCCTATATCAAACAACTGCCAAGGTCTTGTAAGCAGGGTGGTGGTTTGCTCTATTGGTCGTTTGTTCGAGAATCAACGGGATGTGGTGGCCGGGTGATGAAGAGCCAAGTCATGCTTGCAAGAGCCAAGATCTCGGCGACGGCAGGAGTGAGCGAACAGCTCCGGGATGTACGGGTTGATGTTTAAAAAGGTCGTCAGGAACGGCCGCGATGTCTTGTCGATCGTGTCTATCTTCGGCTCTCGCTAGTCTACCATCCGAACTGGCCCGGCAGGGCTCCCTTGTCCGTATCGGAGCTCGAGAAAACGGCCTGAGAGGCTTGTGTCGACAGTGAAGCTCGAGGCGACTATGTTCTCGCAGCGTGGGATCGGACTTCCATCGGCGCCAAGCGGCTCGTTGATCTTCCTACCTTAGCTGTAGGTAGTGAGTGATAAAGTCATGTGGATATTTGGAGGCTTCTTTCTTCCGTCAACGCCCTCTCAGAATTCGGGCTCTCAAGACTACGCAATTCAGGGTCAGTAGACTGAACGCATCAGGCCGTGATGCGCCATGCTACGGCGTGGCACTACTTACTTCGTAAGCTTTCTTGGCGACTCTCATCAAAGTCTAGTTCTGGGTTGCACAGACGTAACCGGCGGGGATTTCAGGAGAACGGTGCTGACGAGTATCATGCAAACTAGGCCTTCAGGCAGAGAGCCACAGCCGGTATCATCGAAAGCTAAGCTGTTATCCACAATCTTGCTGACAGCTCAAAGGCGGAAGATGTTGCGTGGTTCGCTATGCTCTTGGCTCAAAGTTTGTGCCGAAGAGGGCGTCTGGGGGATCTGCGGGCTGAGTCTCGGCGTGAGTCTCGGCGTGCAGCAGTCGCAGGGGGGCCGGGGCTAAATAGTTATCACCCATTGGCATTGTAGCGGGGTAAACGGGCAAACATCACGGTTCACGGAGGTTGAAGCTCCGTTCGAGATGCATTCTTCCATATTAAGGGGGTTGTCATGTGCGGTTTTGCCGTTAATGAGGATCGTTTCAATATCTGGCTCTGCGATGTAACGCCTTTTAAACTACATGTAATTGCCCATAGACGAAAGCATTGAGAGAACGTTTGTCAAGAGACAAGTTCAATGCGTGCTGGCGATGTCTGAAAGATCCTTATGTTACGAGCAGTTGTCAGTAACCTCATAAGACAGCCAAGTTGAGATTCTATTAGAAGTGGAAGAAAGATATGCTGACCGTTAGGGTAGTCGGAACGCGGCCCAGAAAGAGGACGTGAAACACAATGAATTCACAAAGCCTTCTTACCTTTGACGAAGTATTTCAAGTACAGCTCGGATGATGCATAAGTACAGTACCAAGCCTTAGCTACACTCGCCCTAGACCCTCCCTACCCTAGTATCCCCAGTCCAAGCCATTGGAGGGTTGAGTAAGACAGGAAACAGAAAGTAGAAGTCAGCATTAAGGATTCTCATGTCATGTTTATGGAATGAGAACCTGAACAAAACCACCATCATTGGTGGCCTGACAATACTTGCCTGCTCGCGGTGTAGTTTGAAGCTGGTGTTCTCATTAAAAGATCACCGCCGACTGCATGACTTTGATCACCAAACAGCTCGTCTGGAACCCAATGGCGCGGTCCGAGAAACTACGGCACCCAAAGTATAGCATAGGTGTTCGATGTAGAGATTCACCCGCCTTAGCAAGCAGGGCAGTGACAGGACCTCAGACGAACCAACGTCGGACTCAATTTAAAATGGGGAGTTCGGTTGGACGGAAAGAGATCAGCGGAGGCTATCGTAGTTGTTCCGAGTCCACCAGAGCGTCGTCTGTCTACACACGTAGAAACATGCACCTTGCCTTACCAAACCCCCTCGGAGAGATAAGGTGACTTAGACCCATACTCTGAAGTCCGTCAAGCACACAGACTCCGCCCGCCATTTGGTTAGGCAGGACCTTGACGCGATCACAATCTGTGCTGAGCACCATCACGATTGCTGAAGAGCTCGCCATGTCTTCAAACGCTTTGGTCGACATAACGTGACGGTTGCCCATGATATTTAGCCAGGTTTGAAAAGTTGCGGCGAAGCCCCAAATTCTAGGTCGGAGGACTTAGAAAGACCCTCATTGTGGTCATCAGGTGAGAGCTGGTGATAAATGTCACGTATATGGGAAAGCGGTATATCAACTGAATGATAGAGTGATGAGGGGCAGGAGTTGGGCAACAAGCGGTGTTGATATTGCGGGTGTTCGCAGACGAATACCTTCATTGATTTAAGGTTATCGGAGTCGATGACACAGGTAAACATGCAAGGGAAGACGTACAGCCTGCGTCGGAGACTATTGATCGACAGGAGCTGCAGTATCGAGAACCGCATTCGCTTCCCCTTGGCGTCGATCCAAGTACGCTACGTGCTGTTTGAGAAAGCTGCACAGCACTTACCACTTGGTGATCAGACGACGTTGGTTGAGAACGGTCGATAACGTCATGAACCTAAAGCATAGAGAGGCTATGCCATCTGCCAACCACGAAGTCATCGTCACCCCTCAAACGTCTCCAGCCAACGTGATGCGCCCCAGCAAGCTTGCAGATGCCACGGCCCCGCGAGACCTTCTCCACCTCCAACGGGGGTCCCGTCGGGCTGGGCTGCGTCTTCTCAAACTGACTGTAAACAGATGAGCCTCCGGAAGCTCGCCGGCGCACGTGCGCTTTCGGCCGTGCCTTAGCCGCAGTCAAGCAGGTCGATCGGCGAAGTCCCAATGGCTCGGACTGGCACGTTCCTCCCGAGTAGCTGCCAAGCTGCAGGAATGGAGCCCACATGCTGCGAAGTTTTCCAAAGGTTCATGTACGCCTCACGGGTAGGCATCTCGTGACGGTGGCCGCGGGCAGTCGGTCCCGAGGGGTGGACGTCTTGGTGGTATTCAATAGTCGGCGACGCGCCTCGATTCTGTCCAGGTTGAGGATGAGCTGATCCAAGCTTCTTGAATCTCTGTCAGACACAGAGTTCTCTGAGAGCATCGCAACCATGAGCGAACCAACAGAGACCAAGGATGAAGTGAAGGATATCGTCGAGGGCGGGCCATCGAGAGGCAATTCCGGCGAGGGCCGAGGGGAAGTACTTCAACAGTCGCGCGCTGAGTCGGAGAAGAGCAAGTCGACACCATCAACAGACCAAGGAAGACCAGGAGAGCAGGAAAAACAAGAGGAGGTCACTCATTCGGCCGAAGATGACTTCCCGGAAGGCGGCACGCGAGCATGGCTCGTGGCGGCCGGCACCGCGGCCATCCTGTTCTGCTCGCTGGGGTACACCAACTCGTTTGGTGTCTTCCAGGCGTACTACGCGCGACATCAGCTTTCGGACCATACGCCAGACGACATATCGTGGATCGGATCAATACAGGCATTCTTGGTATTCGCTTCTGGAGCGATCGGAGGACCAATATTTGATCGCTACGGCGCATGGGTGAGTGGAACTCAAGGCACTGGCTTCTTGATATCGTCTTCGAGAAGATTCTAATCGTGACCAGGTCATTCGTCCCGCCGCGATAGTGTACATCTTCTCAGTCATGATGACGAGCTTATGTAACGAATACTGGCAGTTCATGCTCGCCCAGGGTGTGCTCAGTGGCATATCAAATGGGTTGATCATGTTCCCGGCAATGGCCGCCACGCCTCAATACTTCAAGAGGAGAAGAGGAGCAGCCATGGGCCTCGCCATCGCCGGCTCTTCGCTGGGTGCAGTCGTGTTTCCTATCGTGCTCTCAGAGCTGCTGGACAGGCTGGGATTCGGGTGGGCCGTTCGCATCTGCGGGTTCATCATGATGCCGTTCCTCTTATTCTCGTCCGTCGCCGTCAGGGCCCGTCTTCCCCCGCGACGGAGCCAATTTTTCATCTGGAAGGCTTTCCGACAGCCGCTGTTCATGTGCCTCACTGGTGGCGTATGCCTCATGTTTGTGGGCATGTTTATTCCCTTCTTTTACTTGCCGACATTCGGTATCGATCATGGCTTGAGCCCGTCATTGGCGTCTTACTTGGTGGCCGTCATCAATGGCGCCTCGATCCCTGGCCGCATCATCCCAGGCGTCCTGGGCGACAAATTCGGTCGCATCAACATCCTGTTCACTGCGGGATTGTTGACTGCCATTTCGATTCTCTGCTGGCCCAAGGCGGTGACCGAGGCTGGAATCATCGGCTTTGCCGCAGCGTATGGTCTCACCTCTGGCGCCATCATCTCAGGAGGGTCCGTGGTTTTCACCCTCTGCCCAAAGACACCAAAGGATATCGGAACCTACATGGGAATGGGTATCGCATTCGCATCAATGGCTGTATTGATCGGGCCGCCGGTCAGCGGCGCGTTGCTCAATCGGTACCACGGTTATGACCAGATTTCCATCTTTGGCGGCGTCGTTTGCATGGTCGGGGCGGTTCTAACACTTTGCGCCAAGCTGTTTACGACGGAGGGTCTTTTAGGATTTGTCTGAGAAGAAGGTTGAATGGAACCTAGCCAGCCTTGGTGTCCAGAGAGTTGAGAGGCAGCATAACGGATGTTGGAAGAGAATTACTGCCGTCCTGGCCTACGTCATTGAGATATGAATGGGCTTGATTAGTTTGACCGAGTCTGATGAATGAATACCCTCACCGAAACCTTACTAAGTACAAATAATAAAAGGCTCACCATCGAAGTTGTTGGCCGATTCGGCAGCGAACCGCCCATTAATAAGTCGCAATTGCCCCACGCGGACCCCTTATCTCACGACGGCAACCGTCCTAAACGATGCTCATTTCCCGTTGCCGCACTGCTTGGCCCTGGCAGAATCCAAGGAACATCACGTCCATCGATGTTGCATTTAAACATTAAACAAGCAAACAAAGCCACCTCGAAACAGGGGCACAGAGCACAATGATTGGCGCACTTTTCTGGAGCGGAGAAGGAAGAACTCGGCTTCCTCCTTGGGCCCAGACTGGAACCTCCTCCCCGCCCCGGCAACTCTCCATCCTTCACCGTTCACGGTGTGTTTGCGGAGACGCGGAGCACACAGGTAGAGGATTGGATGACGTCTTCCAGGGTCTTGCGCCATGCCTACCGTCTTGGCAATGGATATCTCCAAGATACCACCGCCGTATCTCCGTCCGAGTGGCCATCCAAGAAATAGGTTCCGATCTAGCTTATTTGTAATCATTAGTAGACGCGTGGAACGAAGAGAAGCTTAAAACTTAAAAAGATGTTGAGCTATCCCATCCCGTCCCAAGATTGTTTCCATCCGGTATCCGTCCACCGTGTTCTGTGATCGACAAACCTCCAGGTCAAAACCTTCAAGATGCTCAGCAAGACCATCTTCACCACCCTTCTGGGCTTCGCATCTCTTACCAATGCTGCTACGAAGTGCCCCGTTGCCGACGTTTCCGCCATTGCCCACACTGGTACCCCAATTGGCGAGGAGGTCAAATACAATGGGCGTTAGTCTATCCTTATCGCGATGTCTCTCAGGCGCACACAAACTGACGCGATTCGCATGCAGTGACCCAATATGTCACCAAGCCGAGCACGCGTGGTAACAGGACTGTTGGCGTCCTGTACCTGACCGACGTTTTCGGCATTCAGCTCGCGCAAAACAAGCTGTGAGTTTGCCGGTCTTCAATCATGCGTCCGCATGGCAACGCCAAGGTACCAATTGCTAACGTGAATGAACAGGCTTTCCGACAGCTTCGCTCGCGCCGGTTACATCTCCGTCGCGCCGGACCTGTTCAACGGCAGCCCGGCCCCGAACGACATCAACATCCCCGGCTTCAACACAACGGCATTCCTTGCGCAGCACGGGCCCAATGTCACTGACCCGATCATCGCCAACTCCATCAAGTACCTGCGCGAGGAGCTCGGCGTGAGCAAGGTCGCCGTCACGGGATACTGCTTCGGAGGCCGCTACACGTTCCGCGTCCTCGCTGAGGGCAAGGGCGCCGACGTCGGTTTTGCCGCGCACCCGAGTCTGCTCACCGACGAGGAGATCACGGCCATCACCGGCCCCGCGAGTGTCGCTGCCGCCGGTATGTTTTCACCCCGCCACCCCTGCATGCCAATGGGCTGCATGTATTGTTCTTTGTTATTGACAGTATCGCTGCAGAAACTGACAACCTCATGACACCCGCTCGTCGTGCCGAGGTCGAGGCCCTGCTCGGTGAGACTGGCCAGCCCTTCTCTCTCGCTGTGCATGGTGGCACCTCGCACGGATTCGGCGTTCGCGCCGACATTTCGGACCCCAGGCAGAAATTTGGCAAGGAGGAGGCTTTCTTCCAGGCTGTCCGCTTCTTTGACACCTGGGCTTGATCGGATCAATAGTTCTTGTACATAATTGAACAATTTGCGATCGAAACTGATCTCGTACTATATTGGGAGCTTCCAATAATCGAAGTCTAAAACATACTTGCGTTTATTGGGTCTTCATTATGTTGTCTGTATTGTGAAATGTGCGTCCGTAATCGTCTGTTCGTCTCGAGGTCTCGTGAATCGTAATACAAGGTTCAGCGTTCGTCTCATCGTCTGTGCCTATACCCAAAGGTGAAATCGACATGTTAGCAGTGGCAATGAGATCCCTCGAGAGACCGAATCTAAAATCCTAAGATCTAGGCTAGACCGAAGATGATACTAGAGTGGGTCACGGGAAGGGGGAACAAACAGCTCATCGGGACCATGGGCGCGCAGCGCGCTTCGTGTAATCGTCTCGTGATACTCTCCTGCCCAAGCCAAAATATAGATAGGCACGGAAGTTCCGAAGTCGACTTGTCGGCATGACCGCAGGGTCGAGGGAGCTAAGAATGGTCAATTTGGCCAGTCAAGGAAGATGTAATTCGCCTTCCATAATCGCAATTCCACGCGTTGGACGCGTCTAGACCTCTTCTTCATCCGGTAATTGCCGCCCCGGCGTCAATAAGCGTCTTTAAGCTTTTTATCCCTTTCAACGTCTTGGCCATCTTGTGGCCTTCTGCTGAAGGAAAGCTAGGATCCAGTGTCATCGGGGACCCCTAGCTACCGACAAATTCTCCGTGGACAAAGGCTATGACGGTAGTAACGGCTTAAGCAGCGCGTCAAGTAGTGTTTAAACCGGCGGCAGAGTCATACTCAGCCTTACCATTCCCACTTTCCGCTAGTTATTGTTCATAGAGCCGGAGCGGAGCGTAGCTAGGTCGGATCACTTAAGCTTCGATCGCAACACCCCCACTAGTGCACCTAGCACCAGACCAGTGCACCCACCTCGGTTTCGGTTTCGGGGTTTGAGGTACGACCCGTCTGTTCCTGTTTTGATTGTTTCAGATCGCTCACACTCTGACTCTACAGCTTCATTTGTGTTCTTAGTAGGTTCTGTAGTTGAATATGCATTACCTTCAATGCTAATGGCCTCTATCCTAAGTAGGTAGGTCGAACGAGTTGTAGTCGCCAAGAAATCTCCGGGCCGTTGAAGCCTGCATTGCGCTCTGCCGCCGCTCGGCCGAATTCTTTAGATTATTGTTGATCGGCTAGTTAGACTTTCGAGCCTAACAGACCTAAATGGAAGGTTGTTCGGGTAGACGGCATCAGAAAAGCTGACAGTTGACGTTGGTGTCCCTGCAACTCCATGAAGCTTCAGCGTGGAATTGTCGCACGCGGGATGTCGCGGCTCTCATCGTACTAGCCATCAGTGTCTGCTCTGAGGTCCGAAGAGTATTGGCATCTCTAGTAAAGCAGTTCAAGGGATGGCCGGAATGGGGTAGTCTAAATGTTTTGTTCTTTGATTTGTTTAGATGACAACTAAAGCTGTATACTTCTGTCGCTTATGAAGGCCAATGGCCATTTGACCAACTCTTTCCACTCTGGATCTAAGTCTGATACTATCGCCCGCGCCGAGTTGATGCCCCATCCCTGCATAAACCACGTGGTAGCTTCCGTCGAGCGGACGACGACCGAGTAGTAAGCCAACAGAGTCAGCGCCGCAGGATCGCGGTTCCGGAGCAGCTGTAGATACTCCTCGGCGAGGTTGATGGGCCATGTCAAGGCCACCCGCAGCTCTGGGAACGCTGTTGTCTCAACGGCGTGCATGATCCACCCGAGAAACACGTCGATCTCCTTGCTGACGATGGCTTTGGTTTGTTCGTCGGCGCTGGATGTCTTTAAACTTATTTGGAGGTTCTCGAGATGCTGTGTGACTGCCTCCAGCAATGGTGTAGTCGCGGGAGTGACGACCTCTGTGAAGAAGTGCCTAAAAGGCCCTGCCTGGATAGATGGTTGAAATGATGATAAGATGTGGCTCATTCCTCTCACAAGTAGGAAGACGTCGAGAACATTGTCGACAGTTGGCGCCTCTTGTGAGTGAGGGGCTCCCCTTTGATACGGGAATGTAGAGTATGCATTGAGCAACAGTAATGACGATGCCGCGAACAGAGCGTGGCAGTTTTCCGTCGTAATGTTCATGAGTGACTCTCGCATGCCCGCTATCGCATCACTCTGATGCTGTGAGGCATGCAAGGCGTAAGATTCGCGCTGCTCCGGGTGGAGGTACCCTAGATGTAAAGCACCGATAGCGAGGATTTCGTGCATCAGGAACATGTACGTCAGACCGAGCTTCGGTACCTCAAACTGCCAGATACTGCTCACGTCCGACGACCTGGGCATCGTGAGACTGGTGGCCGTGGAGTACTGGTGCATCAGCTCGAGATCTGTGATCCACTTGTTCAAATGAACCGGTTCCACGGGTTCGGTTGAAAACTTGACAAAGTAGGGAAACGGGTCGGGGCTCGAGGCGGCGATAGAGGACCGCCTATTTCCGATAGAAGAGCCCCGGTCGCTGACGAAGTCTGCCGGTAGGTTGAGGGTGGCCTCGAGTAGACTCGGCGGCGTCAATGAGTGGTCTATTGGGCTGATTGATGGCGTTTGCATCTTGCGGCTGCCACTGGATCCTTTTCGCGATGAGCTCCTCCGTTGAAAACTCGGCACTCTGGAGAGTCCCGCCGCGTTAGAATTGGATGCCGGCTCCCAGCTCATGTTGTCACCGGAGCCTGAGCCGTCCACTGAGCCCTCGAGGAGACTGCACTGGGTGTTGTGCCTGATACAGGCGCCACACGGCTTGTTCTCATCGCACTGGGTTAAGAAGTGTCAGCCGGGCCGCGCTCGATATACGAGATGGTTTGTGAATGTCAGAGAGGTGATGAGTGTGCATGTGTATGTGTGTGGATGAAGGGTGGTAAGTACTTTTACACGACGCTGTTTACACCTTGCACAGCCACCGCGAGACTTCTTGTACCCTAGGCGCGGCATCTTGCAGCAAGCGGGATAAGCAGCCCTTTCACTCTTCCTTCTCGGTCCTGGCTGTTATCCTAGATTGGCGCAAATGGCAACAGCTGCCGTAACTTCCCCAACCTCGCGTCCGATGAAGAGTGGGCAGGCTGGACCCCAGACAGGCGAGCGAAGTGCCTTTGGGCTGCCAGATGAGAGAACTCTCACGACTTTGGGGACACCTAGACCTCAAGCCCCCTTGCTACAGGAATCCGATGAGAGCGATGGGCAGGGGAAAGAGTCGGCAATCTGACGAATCGGTTGAGTACCAGTGACGAGATGTCAGCAAGATGTGGCTCTCCTTCACTTCAAGAGCGGCGCGGTCCGCCAAAGGTACCGTAGACAACGATCATTTGGTGTGTCGTTGGAAGCCAACCAGCAAGTCGAGGAGACCGAAAGCGAATATGTGGGGTTGTGAGGATGGATGGGTGGTTGGTTGGTTGGTGGATGGTGAATGGCAAATGGGTTGGGACTGAGAGAGGAGAGGCAAGTCGGGGAGATGGGCGCCAGGGCCGAAGATGGTCTGTGGTGTTTTCTGCAGCGGAACGACTGAGGTAATAGCTTAGTGTATCGGCGGTAGCGTGAATAAGTGATGTAAGGTATGTAGTGTAAGATAGGGTGAGTACGAGTAGTGGTGAGGTGATGGGTATCTATGGTCCTGTCTGTCGTCGGGGAGGAAGCTTTTGCTGGCGCGCGATGAAGCCGTAGTTAAGTTCAATTCCGAATTGGGCCGGTTTTGAACACCCGCCCAGGAACGAAGCGCGGAGCAAGCCACTCGAGTTATATCGTGAAAGAGACGCAAGCGAAGCAGTGACCAGACGGTGAAGATGGTTCTTGGGAATCTCGGAGTGACTGGGAGTGAGTCTGCCCCGTCCCGTGCTGGGCAGCGCCGGGGCGGGTATTGAAGAAAAGCTGGCCCCAAAATGCGCCTTGCTGACGAGTCAAGCCGAAGCACGGGCGGGTGCGTCAGAAACACAATAACATAGCGGCTCGTACGGATCTGGAATGGCGTGTGCGTGGAGAAAGTGAAACGAACAAGGCCGTATTCTGCCCGTTCCTATTGGAGCCTAGCCTGTTGTTGACTCTCGAGTGTAAAGATTGAAGGGAGGGGATGGGCAGGACGTTGTAAAGAAGCAAGAGTGGTGTGTCGGCGTGTACGGTTACGTTTCATCTAAGCTATCATCAGGCCGAAGCACTCTTCCTATGTGGTGCCAGTGGTGGTGGTGGCTCAGGCTCAGGCTCAGGGATGCCACGAGAGGGGCGGCACTCTAATAAAGATTCGACCTCTCCCTCGAGATCCATGTTCGCTAAATGACGATTCACGTTGGGTTGGGGGCTCCTGATCCTGCCCGTTGGAAGCACTAGTAGGAAACTACTACGAACTAGGAGGTATCTGTAGAACATGCAGACCTGAATATCACTCATGTGGCCAAGAGCCACGGCATCGAGACGTCAATTCCTCCACCAAGCCTCCATCAACGTCGGCATGCGTTGCGTGGAGTTGCATACCTAGATACATGTATTGGATGGGCAACGCAACATAGTCAATACGTGTATCACTGTGATCATCTGGGCCGCTCAACCACTCGGCGCAGATGACATAAGTCAGTGTGGCAGCATAACATTCTGTCACCAAGGTTCCTACCAAGGTTCCTCACAAAATTATCCTCCCGTCTTGGCCAGTGCCCACGCCGTCACGTCGTGATGCCGGGGGCCAACACCACCCAATACTCGACGAGATTTGTGTTAGGCTTCCGGGGTTAACGGGCACGACGGGGCCTTGCCATGCCCCTTTATCTCCATGAACCCTAAGCTCCCGCTACTACCCGGTCCCCTGTGTCTATCAATCCAAATCTTTCTTGACGGCTGTCAGCCCGGTAGCAAGGCACACTTGCCATCCCTCCCCTTTCCCCTCCGCACCTGATGGTAGCCATAACCTTTCCGGGGGCGTTACAGACTACTATCTGTAAGGCTGCATTCCTCCTCGCCGAGTTATATCCCAAACGAGGTCCATCGAGGGCATAAAACGGGCCAATGTCCCATTCTACCGGCAAGGACGTGCGCTCAAGGGAAATCAGCTCATCTACAATCGTGGGGCGCTAGCTAAGCATTTTTCGTGGCGCGAGCCCACTAGCCACGGGGCCGGAGAGTATCGATGAAACCGAAACCGAGCGAACCCTGAAAATGTCTTCTAGAACAATGATCTTCTATGCTGCCGTTCATCACCTGTACGAAGTATCCATCTCAACCAACATAGCCCCACGGACTCACGGGTTTTTACCTTACAGAGATCGAAATCTCTACTCCTAGCCAGACTCTAGAGTATATTTCGGCGTTTATATTCCTGAGGCTTGGCTTCGGAAACTGACGTCTTTGGTCATGTCGTGTTCGTCGCATTCGTCGTGTTCGTTGTCGTATGACGTTCGAGACCGGCCGGTCCTGTCATTCTTGGGCGATGAGGTGGCTCAGCTACCCGAAAAATCTCGTACATCGGGTATGACGGATATGATCTAATGATCGCAAACTTAGCCATTGTGCCGCTCAACAAACAAACATCTTTGCATCATCGCCAATTCTTCTGCTCGCTCCATTCCATTATCTCGCTCTCGACTGGCTAGGAATTCTCCAGTCTTTCACTGCAATGTCAGTCAGTCCAGACCGCCAACATTCGTGCGAAAACGGTCCCTTGTTCTGAAACCGCCATCCTGGTTTCCATGGCCCTTCAACGTCGTTTAGGCCCCCAGATTAAGCGCGATGGAACGATTCATCCCGCGCAAGGACTCCTCCGGGATCGACGAAACGTGAAAAGCTTACTTTGATCCCGCCCACCACCAGCCGCGGCGCCCAGGTTTCTGAAAGGCCCCCTCGTCGGCCGAGTCACTTGCTGGCGTCTACTGTCGCATCGAATCTCACACAAACATGGGACGTGGCGGCTTTCAGTTGTTCGGACCGAAAATGCAGGTGTCAGATGTCACTATCGAAAACCTGTGTCAATAAGTAGGCTATAATAGCGACGGCAGCGATTAGATCTTCGCGGCTCTAGGGTTGCGATTCGACTAAGTTCGTCTCAGCAAGGTTCTGCTGACCAGAGCCCGGATCGTGACCGAAACTTCAGTGGAGCCTGGTCTATTTACCAAAAGTCGAACGCCTAGTTTCTCTACATAACACCGCTCCTGACTTATACATAGGGTCCGAATAGATCACTGGATGATCTGATCTCGGGTTAAATTGCCATTAGACAAGGCATCGAATAAGCTAACCTGAGAAATTTACCCCTCTACCTCATCTCCCGAGTCCAGCCTCTCTCAGGAAGACCTGTACTGGGTCCACACGTCTCATATAGTGTATCTGAACCACGGCACGTTATCTTCCAGCTCAGCTTCCAGTTCCTTTTGTTCGGCAGTCAACTCCTGCACCCCAGCCTCGCTAGCAACAAGATCTCTGCGAGCGTTCTCCCTTCTGCACCATGTGGTCATGAATAGCGTCAAGAAGAAGGCCATGCTAGTGAAAGTTAGCATGCGTAATCACTGGCCAAAGTGTCATTATGGTTCTCTCTTACCTCACAAAGCCAATGAGAATGCTGTGACCGGTTGTGTAGCGGGGTCCATCCCGGCTAAGGTAAACGTAGGACGCAATGATGCCGCCGCAGTTACCACCCATGACTTGCATCGCGATGCCGGTTCCCCGCTTCAAACTTCCACCAATGTTGCTGCTATTCCAAGCAAGGCCAAGTGGGATTTGAGGGTAGATCCCTAACGTCGTGTCAGCACATAGGTTTCTCCCGTTTCTACAGTGACGGAAGTAGAAGCTTACCGATCGCGGCAAAGATGGTGCCAGCATATTGTGCAGAAGACTTGCTGGTGCCAACCAAGAGACCGAAGCCCAGAATACCCACTAGCTGGAATCCCATCAGGAAAATACCGCGCTGTCTTACGCGATCCGCATACCAACTGGCGGCAATGGTGAATATACAAGCGAAGCAATACGGCGGTACCGACATCAATTGAGCGTTGTTGGAGGTGTACCCCATGTTCTTGATAATGGTGGGCAAGAACAAGGCAATCGAGTAGATTGGGCAGAAGCCCGCCATGCAGATCAGCATGTGGATGTAGATCTTCCAATCCTTGATAGCCTGCCAAACATATTTGATGTTGAACTCGTTGGATAAGTGGCCTGAGTCTACTTGCAGTCGGCGCTGGACTTCAGATCGCTCCTTCTCTGAGAGGAATTGCGCGCTGTAAGTGACGATGGTCAGCTCATAATACTCCATATTCAGTCGGACATCTCCTGGGTTTTCATCTTACGTGGCGGGATAGTCATATATGGCCCAGTATGCGGTGAAAGACACCAAAATACTCAGGATACCTTCGAGGATGAAGATCCATGCCCAGGCCGAGAGACCGCCAACCCCGTGCATCTCGGCAATTCCTCGCGCAAGAATACCACCAAACGCACCGGCGAGCGTGGCTGCGGAGAAGAAAAGGGCCATTCTGAAGCCGCATTCGTTTCTGCAGTACCTGTTCACGTTTTTGTCAGGACCTCGTCTATAAAAAGGGCGTGCTGATCAGAGCATCAGAGGAGAGAGCCTCACCATTGCGTGATGTAGTAGTTGACGCCGGGAAACAAGCCACCCTCAAAGATTCCAAGAAAGACTCGAGTCGCCATGAGCCCTGAGTAGTCCTTTACAAATCCCTGTCCAATCATAGATGCAGACCAGCAAACCATGATGAATGTCAGCCAGATCGATGGCCGAAGGCGCTTCATCATCATGTTGCTCGGGATCTCGGCCGCGATGTAGAACGGGAAAAGAATGGCAAGGCAGTCATTGTACTGAATTCCCTTCAGCTTGAGGTCCTGTTCCAAGTGGTCCAATCTAGCATTTCCAATGTTCGTCCTGTCGAGGAAGCATAGTCTTGGTCCCAAGTCACTATTAGTGTCGCATGGCTAGATGCTGCGGTGGTATTGGACAAATGTCTGTGCGACAACTCACAGGTAGATCAGACTCATAAAGGGAATTATATGCCAATCTAGCTTCCTCAAGAGCTTCTTAGTCGCAAGGTGGTCGAAGGGCTGCGACTCGCCGACTTCGATCGATTCGGTTTGAGCGTGTTTTTCTGACGTTGGGGCGCTGTCGGA